AAATATATTTATGTTCAAAAATTATATTTGACCTTTAATTTTAATTTTGTATTTTATTAAAATTAATAATTAACATATATACTTAATTGCGAATTATATGGATGAACAAAATCCCTATTATGTGTGTAAGAGATTTCGGAACTCTTTGCTAAAATAATTAAAATTAAAAGTCAAATATAATTTTTGAACACTTTTATATTATTAAAAATATATAATTCGACTCTCGAAATATATTAATTCATTATAAAACGTATACGTATTAGTATTTTTCACATATTAAAATGATTAGAATAAATTAAATTAATTATTAAAAAACTAAAAATTAATTAAACGACTTAGACTTAGATGATAATAATAATGAAACATTTATTAAAAAATAATTATAATAGGTCAGGTTAATATTTTATTATTTATTTATTTATTTATTTATAACATCATAAAATTCTGTCCTTTCCGAAATACGCGAACGCTACGAAAAGATAAATCTCGTACATGCCGCCGGACGAGTTCATGAGCATGAGACGCTCATCTTAGGAACGTATTAATAGTTACTGCATTGACCACTACCACGATATGGCGCTGAAATCAGTGAGAAATGCTGGTCTCTCCTTCATCCAGACCTTTGGCGATCTGTCTATTAATCTGTGATATGGATCTTCATATGATTTAATCTTTTACCTAAAATTTTCATTTTGTGTACATAAAATAATATAACACATAATTAAGATCGACCAATTACAGTCAAATATTTAAAAAAATTCTTAAAGGTAATAATTGATCGATTTGCTTGCGACTTTGCGATTACCATTTAGTAACTTACTATAACTATTTTTACTGTTGTATATAAAGGTCATTCATACATTGATGTTAATTGCAAAGTCGCAAGCAAATCGATCAATATTACATTCAAGAAATTTTTTTAAATACTTGACTGTAATTGTGCATAAAATGTAAGCTCCTTATATTTAAAACAATGTATAATTATTTTTAAAAAGTAACTGAAAAGTAACGACTCGTTAGTAACTGTAACTGTAACGAGTTATTTTTTAAAATTGGTAACTTGTAACTGTAACTAGTTACTTTTTCAATGAAATAACTGTAACTGTAACTAGTTACTTTTACAAAGTAACTTTCCCAACCCTGATATTATTATATTATATATATATATATATATATATATATATATATATATATATTTATATATATATGCAGAGGAAAACTAAATATTTATTGAAACCAAATTTAAAGAGAAATCTTATATTGCTTTAAATAAAGTATATAATATTACATTAATAATGTCTCAAAAAATATATACATATTTAATATAAGAACTGTATTAATATAAGAACTATATTATTTTATAAAGATAATATTAAAACTTTTAAATTGATGTTTCATATAATTTATTTCAATTCTATTGCGCAATCTGGCAAAGCTTCTGCAAGTTCTTTCCTAAGCAAAGCTTTATCCTCCAAATATGGCATCCCAGCAAGCTTTAAAGTCTTCAGGTTTCTGTAAAATACAAAAACAAAACTTTATATTTGAAAACTGAATATTTTTATAATTTGAAAATGTTACGAAAAAATAGCCATAATATCATATATCTTATTAACAATTCAAATAACAAACTGATATCATTAAACGTCAAAATGATGTACATTTGCTATCTGGGAATATAATTATGAAATACATACTTTAGATTTTTCAAACTACGCACTCCTTGATCAGTTATACTCTTACAATCTCTAATTTCAAGTGTTGTCAAGGTATCCTTCACTGCTGATAACAATGGCAGAGCATGATCATATAAGTAAATACATTTTACAAATTTCATCTCATCAATATACCTGCAACCAACTAAATTTCTATCAGTAGAGTAAAAATATTATAAAAATATTGTAGGAATAAATATTGCATAATTACATATATACTATTTGACAATTAATTTACAATAAGTGAATAAATGAGTCGAGCATACAGTTTATATTTTGTAATATCAAATATTAACATACTACATAAGCTGTTCTATATATTAAAAATCTTAAAAGTCTATTAAAATATTGTTTTAAACAATATCAAATATATTATCATTGTTAAAGATCCTTTCTCAGGATATTTCATTGCAAATAATTAAATTTGATACCAAAATGTGGAAATCCAACATGAGTTACTCCAGAGTCGGTAGCATCTACAGCTTGAATGTAATATTGACTTTTTTCCGATGATAAACTATTATAATCTTTCAAATATTGTGTAACATTTTTCCATCTGACACTTGCACCATTCCTTAAAAGCCATTCAGCACATGCACGATCTGGACCAACTGATCGGATTCTTTCTTGATCAACTCTTAAAATTATTACTTATTATTAGCTTAAAAATGATGTATAAGCAAGTAATTTCACATAATACTCCAATATAATAATTTACATATAAATACCTGTTAAATATTACTGTTAACCAATAAAAAAATCCTCTATCAGGTACTTTTTTGCAATGATTTATGGTAACTGACATTCTATTTAATATCTGTAACATTCATATAACATTTACTTACAATATAAAGAATAATTGAGAAAAATAAATCCATATATTTGCACACACATATATTGCCTTTTCATTCATGCAATTGTTTTTAAAAAGTTAAAATAAAGTATAAAAATTAAAATTTTCACATAATCTGCATAAAAGATATAAAAAAAATAATAAATAGCAACAAATATCATACATGTAATGCCATTGTTTATGTTTATTATTTCGACACTGTGCAATCAGCTGATCACAACAAGGGAATCTTTGCTTCACCCTAATTGGTCAATAAAATGTTGCTCTGTGATAACATATATTTGAACGCACTTCGGACAAGGCAGATCGAATTAGGTTGCCTAGACTGCTTTTCTATAACTGTGCATGCGCGTCACTGACGCGGAAGAATCGCGCGGGAGAACGGTCGAGAAACAGTCCAGAGTCACGAAAATAATGTGAGTATATTTAATATAAAGATTTAACTTTTGAATTTTTCATATTTACCGTTCATATTTTGTATATTTCGAAGCATAGAAATTGAATTAATCTCTCAATGCACTTTAATTTCTTGATAAACTTATTTGTTTAATCATTGCGCCCGACATTACGGTTGCGTGGAGTTCACTTGATGAAACTGTCGCACGTTTGATAGTTTTCTTTATATTTTTAATATAAATTGCCTTATAATTACGCAATATTTATTCTCGGGCACTACATTTCTCGGTGAGAACTCGCAAATAAAAAAAAATATATATATATATATATCGGGAATACTGAAAAAATATTGAAAATATATCATTAAGTGTATCAGAAATGTCGAGAAAAATATCGTGACTGTTAAGAAAAATATTAGGTTGCAGTCTTATTATGCATAAACATAATATAAATAACAAATACAATACAATTTTATCGATATAATATACGCTTGCGACAGTTTTGTCAAAAAACTCCGCGCGACCGTAGCTTGAAATTATTGTCTACAAATAAGCATATAGCATCGAAAATATTGAGAAAAGTCATCAAATATGCCGAGAAAAGATAATCGGACAATCCTATAATATATATTATTTAAATGAATTTCAATAAATGTTCGTCTATTTCAAGAATGTGTAAATTTTAATGATATATCCATTAAATACTCGTGAATTATGTATACAAAATTTTTCATTAAAATTATAACAAGAATTTAAGGCATATTTGAGGTACATAAGATATTTATTCATATATTTAATATCACAAATGATTGATTATTATATAAATATATATTCTTTATATCTTAATTATATACTAATTTTTAGAATATTTTGATTTTATTCCTATTCAGAATCAGATGCTAATCTTTTTAAATCTGTGTCAGAGAAATTATAAAAATGCCACTGTTCTTCAGAAGTTAGATCATTAGCTCTAAGTATTTTGTAAAACTCTCGTGCTGGATTCCACTTGAGAACCATAAAATTCAACTTGCTGCAATTATTCTCCACTGCTTCCTGCAAAGATTTTGCAATCAGATTCATGTCGCATATCTAATTCTAGATTAAACATACTTTTGCGACAGCTTTCAGAAGCTTGGTGCCAACATGTTTTCCTCGGAACTCTGGTGTCACATAAATATCCTCCAGATACATAGCTTTTCCACGCCATGTAGAATAAATATAATAAAAGATAGTATAACCAATAACCTTCTCATTGGATGTTGCCACATTGCAGAGAAATAATGGTTGCCCATCGAAGCCATCTCTTTCTAAAGCTAAATATATATATATATTTTTTTTTCATGATATAGAGTCATTTTTAGACAATTTATGTAACGTAACATACAAATGTATATAAATCTCACTTTTATAATCAATTTTTGGTCCATCAGGCATCTTCTCATAGTCTGCTAATTCCTGTAAAACAATATCTTTTATGTTATCTAAAATATTTCTTTGTTATCAGTAAAATTTACCTGTATAAGTGTCCTGATAGTTTGGCAATCTTCGCGTCTAGCTCTCCGTATAATTATTTCAGTCATCATTAAGTAATGTGATAGATTCTCTGGCTTCTAAAATATTATATAATCACTGTAAATATTTTAAAAATATTAAAAATATGTAACATAAAGGAATAAATCTGACAATATATAAATTATATGTATATAATATATATATATACACATAATTTATATACCTATATATATATATATATATTATATTGTACATAAAATATATAATCACTATAAATATTTTAAAAATATTAAAAATATGTAGCATAAATATATATATATAAAATTATTGTACGTACAATTTATACATATATTATCACGTGAGTCTTCAGCTATAACGAGTTGTTACTTACATATCTATACATAATTTACATTGTACAAGTGTAATTATATATGATGTGTAAGTCCTTATCTTTTATCATTTATTTTTTATAAATAAGGTGCTCGAGTTATTAACGATTGGTCACGTCAATATTTTCCGTCTTTCTGTCAAAGTGCACTCCTGTGCTTCTCTGTCGCAAGAGGGCTCGCGCAATCGCGAGGGTCGCATTTTAGGTTAACATTTGTATGTGCCGGCTGTTTCAAGCATCAAAACAAACTCGAGAAATTTTTACATTCTAGCGATCGCTCCTGACGCCTTTAAATCGACGTACAAGTTGAAATAATTGAGACAACATGAGCCGCAGGAAAAGAGCGAAGGTGCGTGCTTTTATTTCTTTCAGATTCATTATGATAATGTTTTGTATATTTGTGCTTACGAATGTCGATATCAATCAACGTAACGATAAGATTGTGATGCTGTCATTTTTCGCGATCATGTGTTATTATTCTTTTACTATTGCGATAATAAATCAGACGAATAAATTTTCTTTGCAATTTTTATGATTTTTTGCAAATTTTCTTTTCTTCATGCTAGGGAGGCTATGTTTTGATTGTGTATATGTTCAGATTTTTATCTGGTTATTATTTTATCATTCTACAAAGCATTATTTAAATCTTTTCTTTAAAAAGATCTTTCTTTATTTATATAAAATTTTTATAATATCTCTAATTTTATAATACAGCTATATTTTGTATATATCTTGTGCGAGAAAATATATCTAATTATTAGCTAGAGTACATAGAATTGAAAAAAAAAAAAAAAATAAATAAAATTAGAAGATGAGAATGCTTCGAAATTTTTAATACTTTTTATATTTATATGCAGTTATTAATATTGATTTTATACAAGAAATATAATTATAGGTGGAGTACAGAGAAATGGAGGAAAAATATAATCAGTTGGAAGATGAGAATGCCTCGGATACATCAGAGAAATCTAAAACTGGTCTTGTAACGCCAGAGAAGAAAGTTTCCACTGAAGTGAAAAAAGAATCTGAATCTACGGTGCCTGCACCTGTACCTTCCGCTTCAAAAAGTGAAGTCAAAGAGGAAGATGAGCAAGACAGTGATCATGAAGATCCACATGGTATTTTTCTTTTTATAAAAAGTTATTTAAATTTTACAGTGTTGATGCAAACAATTAATTTTGTTTTTACATTAGTGAAGGAATTATTGAATGGCTTGGAAGGTGCAGCCTTTCAAAGTCGCCTTCCATTTGACAAATTGACATCTACCGAAGCTGCATGTTTTCCTGATGTTTCTGGTGGACCACCGCAAACACAGAAAGTCTTCCTACACATCAGGAACAGACTTGTAAGTATGTAAATTATAAGCTATGAAATTTTGTTATTCCTTTTCTAATTTGATCTTATATTTTAGTTACAAATATGGTTGGAAAATCCTAAACAACAATTGATCATCGAGAGTGCATTACCACAAGTTGAGCCACCTTATAATAGCGACACTGTGCTTACTCGTAGGATTCATGCCTTTTTAGAACGACATGGTTTTATAAACTTTGGAATCTTTAAACGCATAAAGGTAATTTAATAAACATATAAATTACATTATTATTTTGAACAGATTAATGCCATGTATTTATTTCATTTTAATACTAGATTAATATTATAATTTTATTATATTATATATATAGACATTAGTTGTTACTAAAAAAATTAATAATTATTAATATTTATATTTGCTTGTTGCAGTCCTTACCGACCAAAAATTAGGTAAAGTCATTGTAATCGGTGCTGGTATTGCTGGGTTAGCTGCAGCTCAGCAGATGCAACAATTTGGCTTAGAAGTAATTGTCTTGGAAGCTAGAGTAAGTTGTCAATTAACTATTTCATTTTATTTTAACTTATCTTTAGCTTTGTATAAATTAATTTTTCCTAAACTATTATTAATTTCTGTTTAGGATCGTGTTGGTGGTCGAATCGCTACATTTCGTAAATCAAATTATATTGCGGATTTGGGAGCTATGGTGGTCACAGGTTTAGGTGGAAATCCTGTAACGACGCTTAGTAAACAAATTAATATGGAACTACATAAAATTCGACAAAAGTGTCCATTGTATGAAAGCGATGGTCAAACGGTATGTTTAAAATATTTTATTAAAATAATTCAATATACATATAATATATATCTCATTTTTATTACTATTATATATTATAAAATATAATGCAGTTATTATTATAAACTGTTTTAACAACAAGAAAATTAAAGATTTTCCTATATTATTGTACTATTAATATGTACATAAATATATACTAATTATATATCAAAGTATAAATAAAATATGTATTATATTTGTTGCAGGTTCCAAAAGATAAAGATGAAATGGTTGAAAGAGAGTTTAATAGATTACTGGAAGCCACCTCTTATCTTTCGCATCAACTAGATTTTAATTATGTAAACAGTGCAGGATCTGGAGGACAAAGCGGTAATACACGTCCAGTGTCTTTGGGTCAAGCATTAGAATGGGTAATACGTTTGCAAGAACAAGGTGTAAAACAACGCCAAGTAGCGCATTTGCGCTCTGTACTCTCCTTGCAAGGACGATTAGTTACTAATCAACACAGAGTATGTACAATTAAACATTTTTTAATTAAATACATATTTTTAATGTGTACACACGAGATAATATAATAAATTGCATGAAATGTATGAAATTATATGATTAAATTGTAATTTATTTTGTAGATGATTTCCATTATGGATCGTTTGGTGGAACTGAATAAACAATACAAAGAAATGACGGAAAGTAAATTACAAACTCGAGATATAACGCAAGAGTTTGTGCTCCGATCCAAGTTACGCGATCTCCATAATGCTTGCAAGGTGCATAATTTAATGATGAATTTTTAAATCAAAGTTATAGATAATATATATTATTTTTTTTACGATAAGTAATAATATATTCTTATTTTGTATTTTACTTTAGGAATGGGATCAGTTATCAGATCAACAAAAGGAAATCGAAGCAAAGCTGCAAGAATTGGAGGCATCACCACCAGGTAAATTTATTATATTCTATATTTAAATTAAAAATCTATAATCTAAATTATACTTTAAGTAATATATAATTTGTTGAGAAATCTGTTTATTAATTTATGTGTATTGATAATACAGAAAATTAAAAAAAAATTGAAATACAAAATACATTAAATGTGCCATATAAAATTATAAAGGATTTGTTTTGTAAATGCTGTCGTAAATTATAAATAATCAAAAATGGACTTACAAAAATTTATATATTGATATATAAATATTTTGTTTGCATTCAGTGACGTCTACTTATCGTCCAAGCTCGGCAGATATT